GATTTAAAGACTCCTTACTATGCTTGTTATATGTGTGAAATTTGTTAAAATTCGGTCTAGTAATAAGCGAGATAGCCTTCAGGTGCAGCCCCCTCCCCGTTAAGGTGTCTGTTTTGTCTATTGTAAGGTACATTCTGTTCTTCTCTTTTTAGACGCTGACTCATCGTTTCTTACCTTTTTCAGCAATATGACGTCCGAAGTTGGAATCCGGCGGGCACGTATGTCAGATTACTCCGCCGTTGTGGATGGGATTGGAGATGTTTATTGGGGTAGGGACTACTTACCTGCCCTGTACACAGGGTTTCTCCAAGACCCGGACTGCTTCTCCTTTGTAGCAGAGGTTGACGGAAAAGTCGTGAGTTCGTTGCTTTTGATTTTGGCAAAAGTTTGTGAATTTGGAAAATCCCTTAAATTAAATTTGGTCAATTTGATTGTTTTATGTCAAAGTTCATTGATCGGTGTAACGTTTGTCTGATTTGCCTAGCTAAATAACTATGGAGTTCTTGATGCAGTTTGCTTTTGTCATAATAATATCGATATTCAATTATGAGAAAGAATATTTCCAAAATCCTAAACCGTTCTTAATATTAATTGCACAGCCATAAAACCAAGATAGAAAGACACGCCATGAAAAGAGGTTTCTACGCTGCACAAAAACGTTGCTTGGCCCTAATTATGCTTGTAATAAATGCTTTATTTTGTCATAAGACAGCCTAGCTAGTAGTGTCAGGCTAATCGCAAGTTGAATAAGGGAAGAAGAGAAACTTTTCCTTTGTCTGCAAAACACAGCATACTAAAGGGGAAAATACTTTGTCTGCAAAACACAGCATACTAAAGGTAACGTGGAGAAAATAATGCGTAAAAAAACTGCTCTTTGGGCAGTTAATCGAAGATTACATAATGTGTATAATTAGGTGGCTTTCGTGGCTTTATCGGACCTGTGCAAAATATTTTCAGACTCGATGTCCTCCTGGCTGAATTTTGTTTATTTGAAGTTTTGTTGAAATTGTTGTAGAGATTGTGGAGATATTGTTTGATTAAATGGGTCCCTTTTTTAGACAACCTGCCCGCGCTAATAAGTGCATTAAAGCAAATACTAAATGCAAATACAATATGCTTTCTACAGTTACACGCAACCTTTTTTTAAGTGTAATAATGTTCGATGTCACAACGTATTTTAGGTCGGATTCTACGCGGGAGAACTCGTGGACAACAAACAAACGCTATATAAAATGGCAGGAAGGGTCAAGGACGAGTATAAAGGTCAAGGTATTATTACCAAGTTGAGTGATGCCATCGACACAGAAGCGGCAAAACTAGGAACAGCCAAACGCGAGGTGATGGCGTGTTTGAAAGAGACTGCCGAGAGACTCAGTAAAGGTTACACCCAGAAGAAAGGATTCGAGTTGATTGTGCACGTGGTAAGACAACTTTTGAAATTAATAATATTATGCTCTACTCTTCATTGAGGTCTATTTTTTCTAAAAGGATAGTGCCGTGTCACAGCTGACTGCAAACAAATAATTGTGTTGTAATTTTAAGAAACGCCACTTTGCAAAACTTCACCTTTTGTGCTGCTCATTTTAGTTGTTTTGTTTTTCATATTAAAAACATCCCTGTTCTCAGACTGACAAAAACCAGTATTCCAAATTATAATTAACTTAGAAAAAAATGCTTGGTTAAAAAAAAAGAGAACAATGTTCTGGTTCGGATAGAGGTTCAATTGCAGGGAAGGCCCTGTGAGTGTACATGCAGCTACTTTATTTCAAACTAATTCTTAAAGACATATTATTAATAAAGGTTTCAGTTACATTTCTTCATTATTGCTTTGTTGTATATCTCTCCAGAAAGTGTACTATTCGCATCTCGTTACCAGCGATATTCCAAAAGTGGAGCTTTCAACTTTCCAAAACGTCAACGAAATGACGTACGCGGACATGGAAGAACTTTTCGATGACGAGGTCACGTGGAACAGACTCATGCGTCAAGGCCGAATATGTGTTCATTACGCACCTCTGGGCAGGTTCAAGGAGAATATACGGCATGTCATCAACCACAGAACGAAAGCCTTCATGTCTTTTGGTTCTTCAGGTGTCAAGGACGCTGGCGATTCTGCCAACAAAAACGTCCAGAAGGCCACCATGCTCTCTACAATACATCATGTCCCAGTGAGTTTCGGTCTTATTTTGTATTCTGACTTTTATGGCTCGGATCTTACAGATTTAGAATCCCATCTGCAGATGCATATTCATCACTTAAATTAGGCCAATGCAGCTAAAATAAGCTGGACCATCAATGTTCTCTTTGATCTTGACTCTGACGTCAGGGAAAGACTGAAAGATTGTTTGTCAAAGTATGGAATACCTCTTACACAGACCCCAACACTGACAGATGTATTTATGTTTGAAGCAATTTTTTCACCCTCAGGCGCTTAAATGAAAAGAACGTAATACACACTGACCTGTTCACGTTCTTCTCACTAACCACCGTTATTTACTTACTTACTCACTTTCTTTCTTACTTACTTACCTACTTACCTACTTACCTACTTGCCTACTTATTTACTTTCTTACTTACTTACTTACTTACTTACTTATATACTTACTTACCTACTCACTAACTCTCTCCCTATACCGTCAGGCGTCTTGAGCAGTCGACGCCACGCTTGTCTGTCCAGGGCCGCTCTTTTGAATTTCGGCACATCTAGGCCCTGAGTGATTGCCTCATCTCTTATTGTGCCTCTATATCTTCCAGTTGATCTTCTCCGCTTTCTCTTTCCAGTTAGTTTCCCAGGGCAAGTCTGATAGGGCAAAATCACATTTACTTGACAGCATCTAAATACTTTAATGCTAAACATCACAAGAACATGGTTCCTGAATCTTTTTTAAAAACATTTTTTATAGTAGAAGGTTTTACGGCGCTCGCAACTTCATAAGGTCATATGAGCACCAAGGGGTGGGTGTCAACAAAGAAGTCTTTACAGGGAATCAGACTTAGACTGCTCACCTCTCTAGCTTCAACAGCACAAGGTCTGCTTCGACTATCAAGGCTCCCCGGAAATAGCAGGTCACAAGAGACTGACAAACATACAGAAAAAGTAGAGGCAAATGACAATAGTACGGATCAGGAAAAGCAGAAGTTCCCTGTTGTAGATCAGCCACAGTTATGGGCATGGCATGAGTCAGCCCATTTACAATTCTACTATGCTTGAACGAGAAATGTCCCCCCTTTGGGAATGGCCTAAAGACACTACAGTCAGTGGCACTGCACCGGGGGGTCCTGAACCTGTTTGTTTCGTGACTTTTAACAAACTTGAAAAATATTGTCTAAACAGAATAATTGGTATTGTGTTTACTTTTTGTCTCAAACATTAAACTTATATCTGTGTCAAATCTTACGTTGATGTACTAATAATGTTAGTTTCTATTTTCTTTTCACCACCCTCCGCTCCCGCACATACACACACTTTACACAGACACATAAACACATGCACATATACACTCATATACGTACATACACACACATACGCACATACACTAACACAGCACACACTCATACACAAACACCCACACACATTCATACGCAAACACATGCACACACACACACACACACATACACACACACACACGCACGCACACCTCCATAAACACACACACACACACACACACACACACACACACACACACACATATAAACAGGCACCCACACACATACGCACTCGCACACAATCACTAACACCTATGTACAATCAATTACACATACGCACACACACACACACGCACACACACACATATTAACACAAACACACACATACAGACACACATACACACACGCATACATGCACATACATACATACACACACATACACACACTGACACACACACACACGCTCTCAGTCATAAAGACACCTTGTCGGAGTACACTTGTACAGACCTCGTCTTCCCTGTAACAGGTGATTGGTGGCTTCTCTGGTGTGATATTATGAGTTCTTTCTAAACTTTTTCTATTCGTAAGTATGCAGAAACTGCTTCACACCACACAATGTTCCTTGGGGCATTTTGTTACAACTAAGTATAGCATGGTGTTTCATGCAACTATGCCATGGAGGCAAAAAGTATTGCAGTATTCTTGCCTATGGTTGTTTTCTGACTGGTACTGCAATTTGTTAACCATTTGGCACAGTGAAGATCATGAACCTGAAAGACATACGGATTCCTTGTAGACGCAATAGCGACTGATGTTGCCATGTCTTGTTTCCCGAGTGGCCAAGGGCCAAGGTCGTGAGTTGTGAGCTTTGACTCAAGAAAAATCTCATTTTTAATGTAGATGTAGGTGTTTTTACATTTTTTACACCCTTTTCTGCACAATCTAGATTATTAAAAAATAGGTGAGCTTTGACGCTGCATTAAACAGGTCCAATTCCGGCTAGGGAGGTACTACTTCCCAGCAGAAATACGGAGATAAAGGATACAAATTCACCCCACTCAGTAATCGAATTAAGTATTAAGGTCTGCCAATTGCGACGGCGAAAGACCTAATCACCGCACCACACAATAATATTCCGATAGAAATAATCTCAATACATGATAATAACGTCCATGTGGTAATTCAGAGCAGATGTGTGGTTTGTAACCACAATAAATACTAATAATCATGCTTACGTAAATATAGGTATAGTCATTCTGTGCTTTTTAAATAGAATTGTGTGTTGTTTTGTCACACCCTGGTATATTATTACTGTGTATAGCTTACTGCCCGTTCTATTTTCAGGTCTTCTTGTTTAGTTTACAGTTTCATTTCTGTGCATTGTTTTTGTTCTTACCTTCGGCTCCAAGGACTGGGTCAGGTTATAATTAATACCCAGGTAAAATATTCTAGTACATGAATTGCAGCTTAAATCTCTTGTCCACGCAATAAATATGTAATAAAAATTCTTTGATGCAGCATTTATATGTGGGTGGTTGGCGGTAGATGCCGTGTGGTTTGTTTTTCTTTTCCTTTATATCAAACACCTATCGTCATTGTCCGTCGACATTCTTTTTTCGTAAGTTACCCTCTATTTTCACCTCTAATTGTCAGCACTAAGATGACCTAATTGTGAAACTCTTGTCGTAAAAATGTCATTAAAAGTAAACTAAAAAAGCAACCATTCGGAGGTTTAAATTCCAACAGAAGGTAATTGCCAAAATGTTTGGCTTTAGAACGAAAAGAAATCGAAACGGTCAGTAATATTCGACTTTTCTTTAATTTGCTGTCATTGACGTCGAACGTACTAATTGTTGGAGTGTAGTTAACTAGGGAGGGGTTAGTGTTACTGATCAATTAAGGCTATAAACTGTTTTACTAGGGTTTGTAAATTATGCAATGTGTATTTTTAAACAAAATTCGTTCATGCATTTGTCTATGATTTTTTGTGTGTAAATGTGTTTGGTTTTTATTTACTTGGTTATATACTGATTTATTAATTAAATAATTGATTACGTTAATATATCATGTGTGCATTTTTATTTATTCATGTGTTTACTAATTTATTGTTCACTTGCTTGTTTGTTTGTTTGTTTGTTTTGGTTTCCCTCTATCAAGAGTTAATGAAACATTAACGAAATTAAGGACTACTTCGACCAACATTAAAAATGTCAAGTCTTCTCCCAGTCAGTGGATGGTTGGCGGGTGCTCTGGTTTGGTCTGCTTTTGCTTCCCTATGAAACATATGTCTCCTTTATCTCCCCTCCTTCTTTTTTGTGTTTGTTATTCTCTTGTAAAACCTCTAATCTTCGGCATTTATAAGACCTTACTGTGTTGCAAGTGTCGAAAAACTCTTACAAAAAATAAACTTTCCCAGACAGGTGAACATCACCTTTTGTTGTGAAAAGAAGAAGAAGAAGAAGAAGAAGAAGAAGAAGAAGAAGAAGAAGAAGAAGAATGCATGTTAGTGCACAGTATAGTATGTGCCCACATGGACACACATTAGATTAAACAGAAGGCGGGTCACTTTAAGCATGGATGCTGGAAATTCAAAGCATCGCAACAGGCCGATATATTTGATTAAATTATATCTTCTCCGGTTCAGATATGAAGTCTGGTCATCAGTGCATAAGGGTGAAGGGTTTATCCATTACCCAACGGCAGTGACATCTTGACCTGTAAAAGCAAAAGGATCCAAGTAACAGCCCCCACCTCCCACCACCCCTCTCCCTTTACCCTTTTTTGTTGCTGAACCCCATCCCTAATCTTAATATAGTTTACAGTTTCATAATAGCAAGCATGCTGGAACAAACTGTCGAAAACAGTTCCGAATTCATCCTCATAGCACACTGAACAAACTATTGTGTGTAAGTATCATGTGACAGAACAAATAAAAGTACATATACTTTAGAAAACAACGTTCATTTGTCTGGAAGTCAACATCTGTGGTAAGAATATTGCTATTGTCAAATACTGAGTCCTCTGTCCTGTTGTGAAAAGCCTTCAGTCGAGAATTTAATAAACTTCAGCACTGAGAAAAATAATATGTATAAAGAGTGAAAAAAATGGTGAAATGATATGGGTTTAACGCCCCTATCAATATTATTAGGCTATTTAAGAGGCGGGGCCTCCGAGTTTAACGTCCATCTCCGAAATGACAGAGCCAAATAGGAATTTCGTATAAAGTGCCTTTTCCAAGGACACAACGTCGTACCGAGCTGAGGCTCGAATCCCCGAACCCGTAACCTCCCGATTACGACTCCGGTAGCCTAACCACCAGACCACAGCCGCCAAAGAGTGGCGAAGAAACCCCAACGTTCACCTAGCCCAAGTTGACGGTCACAGGGTCGGGGCAAGATCTACCACTGCTGAACATCTAATAATGTTTAGTTAAAGTGTGTGGACTTTGGTATGTTATAGTAGGCCAAGACGGTGCTACAGACACAGTAATGGCCGTTCTGGTGGAATTTGGAAGCAAGTTTCTGGGATCAATAATCAAATTTTAAACATTAAAGCCAAGGGCCTGAAAAGAAGATTATATAATAAATTCTGTCTTTTGATACTGAGGTGAAATAAAAGGAGAAGAAAACAATTTTACTTATCAAACATTTTTTCTACACATTTCACTCATTCTATTTTTTACACAATCATAATCTACTTCTTATTCACCCTTTATCAAACTATTCCTTCAATATTGCGTTCGAATTATAATAGCTCTTCCATTTTCATTGACGTCCATTTTCAAGAGAAGAGAATGGTGCAACTGTAGCATTACGAAAATCAGTAAAAGTGTTGACAAAATTGCATCCAAATGCCACCAGAATGTCCTCATGAGAACCCTGGAAGAAAAAATATGTATTGTGCAGGATTATTAATATTATTATCATCATCATTATTAGTATTACTATCGTTATCTTGTTTGCGTCAGTGTGTCAGACAATTCATTCCTCCAGCTTGACCCAAACAGAACTATGTCAATGAGAAAAGATACACAACAGAAAGTGATCTTGACATGACCGGTAGAAGCCATGACATTTTTTCTTATCGTTTTAATGTTGGTAGAAGCAGTCCTTAATTTCAGTAACGCGTTCTTAAACTCTCGATATAAGGGAATCAAAACAAACAAACAAACAAACAAACAAGCAAACAAACAAATAAACAAACAAATAATAAACGTGAATAAATAGAAATGCATACATAATAGAATATTATAACCAATTGTTTAATCAACAAATCAATATATAATTAAGTAAAAAGCAAACACATTTACACATAGAAAAATCATAGACAAAGGCATGAACTAATAAAGTTTTTAAAAAACCCTATACATTTACGAGCCTTAGTTAATTAGTTTATAGTCTTAATAAATCAGTTGCACTAACCCTCCCCCCGCCCCCCAGCTAACTACATTTGAACAATTAGTACGTTCAATATCAATAACAGCAAATTAATGAAAAGTCGATATTACAAACAGCTTAGATTGATTTTCGTTCTAAAGCCATACAATTTAGCAACTGTGTTCTGTTGGTATTTGAACCTTTTAATGGTTGCTTTTTAGTTTAGTTTCAGTAAGAGTTTGACGACTCTCGTTTCACAATTAGGTCATCTATGTGCTAACAATTAATGGTGAAAATAGAGGGTAACTTACGAATAAAGAACGCGGACAGACAAATAAATGATAATGACAATGACAATCTTTATTCATCTCCCAGGAAGAAATATGTCTTAGTCTTTAACAATAGCAGTAGACGTTACTAAAGTTGGACCTAAAGGTGTACTCACGCAAAAGCACAACAAGACAGGACATTAGCCCTTGTAAATAGGCCACATGTCTCACGTGCTGGTCAACCCGCTTCGTAAAACATTCTCTCTCTCTCTCTCTCTCTCTCTCTCTCTCTCTCTCTCTCTCTCTCTCTCTCTCTCTCTCTCTCTCTCTCTCTCTCTCTCTCTCTGTCTGCCTGTGTTTCATTTGTTTCATAAGTAGCACTGTGTGTTCAGTGACCTCACTGCAGTTGGTACGAATGAATTTCTATATCTGTCTGTTCTTGCTTTTTTGGAACTGTATCGTTTACTACGGGTCGATAGTTGAAATTCCAATGTCAGTGGGCGGCTATGGTCACTAAGCATTATTTCTGCCTTTTTTACAACGTTTGTCTTGTGCAGATATTCAAAGTTACTTATGTCTCTACCAATTGTTCTTGATGCCTTTCTTATCAACTTGTTTCTTTTTATAATGTGCTGCCTTCTCAAATTGCTACCCTAGCAAGTGATACAAAAATGTATCAAAGTTTCTATGGTGATGGTGTAGAATATCTGAAAGATGGATGGATTCTGATTGAAAGACCTACATTTCCTCAGAAAGTATAGCCTCTGATTTACCTTCTCAACGATATTGTTTACGTGGTTTTGCCATTTAAATCTGTTGTCGATTGTAAGACCAAGATATTTGTATGAATCCGTGATTTCAATTGTTTCTTGTTCAGTTACGAGTAGATAAGAAGGAAATAAAATAAAACCACACCACATCTCCCGCCAACCACCTACCTAATGTTTCATCTAAGGATATATACAAACTATTTAAAGCGCTGACATTAGAGATAATATAAGCTGCAATTCGTGTACTAGAATATTATTTTATCTTGGCATTTATAACCTGACATAAGGTCACTTGGTCCCTGGAGGCGATGGCAAGTATAAATACGATGTATTTGCAAGGGTACAAAAATGAAATTGCAAAATAATCAAGCACACAGTGAACAGCTGAAGATAGAACAGACAGTAACCTGTACACAGTAATTTGCCACGCTTTGACATAAGAACTCGCAATATCCAAAAAGAACAAAAAGGCTATAATATATTAACGCACCAATTATTATAATTATTATGGTTACAACATGGCACCTCCTAGTTATGTAACTACTAATTGGTCTAAAATGTCCTGGTTTGAACTACATGGACGTTATTATCATTTATTGAGATTTATTTCCGTCGGTAAATTATTGTTATGATTAGGTTAGGTCGCTTTTAAAGACAAGTGGGCTATCTCGAAAAATGCTGTTTTGAGAAAATCGAACGTAAAGTTGTTGCCCCTTGTTCAACTTCATTAAAAAACAAGGAGAGTTTTCTCTATAACTAAACAAATATTCACACCAACGAAATCAAACTTCTTCTATAGGTAAGACAATGCCCACTTTTGGTGTAAGTACAGATTTCTGGAACCCCCCGAAATTTGGGTTAGCCCGCTTGTCATTAAAAGCGACCAATTGGATTCCCGAGTGGGGTGAACTTTTATCGAATATCTCGGTTTTTTCTGCTGTTTTGTATATATATATATATATATATATATATATATATAACACACACACACATATATATATATATATATATATATATATATATATATATATATATATATATATATATATATATATATATATATATACCTGTGTGTTTGTGTGCATGTGTGTTTTTGTGAATATGTGCATTTGTGTTTATGAGTGTTTTTGTGTACCTGTGTATAATATTATGTATGTTTTTGTGTCAATGTGTATATGTGAGTTTGTGTGTTTGTGTGTGAGTGTTTGTGTGAGGGTACGTGTGTGTGCATGTGTTTGTGTATGTATGTATGTATGTGTTTTTAAGTATGTGCCTAGTAGATGCTGTCAAATAACTATGGTTAAATGGGGAAGAACTAACAGGTCAGTGTTCATTACCTTCTTTTCATTTAAACGTCTGTGACGTTGCTTCAAACATCAATACATCCGTTACATTAGGGTCCTGTGTGAGAGGTATTCCATACGCGGACAGAACATCTTTCAGTCTTTCCCTGACATCAGAATCAAGATCGAAGGGAACATTGATGACCCAGCCTATTCTCGTTTTTTTGGCTTCATTTAAGTGATGAATATGCATCTGCAGATGGGATTCCAAATCTGTGAAGTCTGAGCCATAAAAGTCAGAATAAAAGGCTAGACCCAAACTTACTGGGAAATAATGTATTGTCGAGAGTAAGGAGGCATTTTGGACGTGACTTTCTGCGGGGACACCAGCGTCCTTGACACCTGAAGATCCAAAAGACATGAAGGTTTTCGTTCTGTGGTTGATGACATGCCGTATGTTCTCCTTGACCCTGCGCAAAGGCACATAATGAACGCATAATCGGCCTTGGCGTATGAGTCTGTTCCACGCGACCTCGTCATCGAACAGTTCTTCCATGTCCTTGAGCGTCAGCTCGTGGACGTTTTGAAAAGTTGAAGGGTCCGCTTTTGGAACATCGCTTTTAACGAGAATCGTATAGTACAATTTCTGGAGGGATGTAAAGCAAACAATGATAAATAATTGTAATTGAAACCTTTATTAATAATCAGTCTTACAGAGTTAGTAAGTAACAAAGTGGCTGCATTTACACTCGCATGGCTTTTTACTACAGTTATACCTCTATCAGAAACAAGGATATTCTTTCTGTTTTTGATCAAGCCATTTTTTTCTATATAACTTCAATGCGATTTTTAAAAAAATCTTTACTAATACGTAAATGAGCACTATATCATCTCATAATGCAGGGTAAAAAGATTGTTTATTATACAGAGCAAAGAAACAAAATATAATTAGAATTTGAAATATTGGTTTCTGTCAGTCTGGCAACAGGACTGTTTCCATTATGAAAAACCAAAGAGCTGCAAAATCTGTGGATTTTTACAAACTGGCATTTCTCAAAATTACAACACAATGTGTTTGCAGTCAACAGTGACACGGCACAATTTTTTTAGAAAAATAGACCTCAACGGAGAGTAAAGTATAATATTACTGATTAAAAAAGTTCTTACCATGTGCACAATCTGCTCCAATCCTTTCTTCTGAGCGTATCCCTTACTGATTCTCTCGGCAGTCTGTTTCGAACACGCCATCACCTCGCGTTTTGCTGTACTTAGTTTTGCCGCTTCTGTGTCGATGGCATCACTCAACTTGGTAAAAATACCTTGACCTTTATACTCGTCCTTGATCCTTCCTGCTCTTTTATGTAGCGTTTGTTTGTTGTCCACGAGTTCTCCCACGTAGAATCCGATCTAAAATACGTGGTGACATAGAACAATATTGTACTAAATGATTTAAGACATGGATGATTTCAGATACGTTTTATTATACACAGACTTGATAACAGAACAAGACAGACGTTTTTACCACTCAACTCACGTTACAGGAAGAGGAAATTGACCTCTGGACAATCCAAGGGGAATGTATTATCAATCAACATAAACTATTGATTGTTTCCCTTAATACATTCATATAGATTCATTACAATTATTACTTTTTTAAAAAGGTTGTCTGTAACAATAATAATATAGTCAGCTTATTGTCTTTGCACTTAGTATTTCCATTAATGCACCTATTTGCTCGGGTAAACATAAGGTGTAACCTGCAATGTCTTTGCACATCCCAACGAATATACGCCATTATTTCCTGTCCTGTAAGACAATAATGCAACCCCATGTTTACCCCCCCCCTTTCCCCCCACGGATATTGCTTGCAAGGCTAACTTGTTTGCAATATTAAAATGAAGGGTGGTAGTATGAGGTGTGGATAACTTTTTACAAATATATAAATGCATACAAATAAAGTATAAGACCGTTATATTTTAATAAGCTTGTTGTTCGCACTTTGCGCCTCCTATATTGTTTGTAGAATGTTCGAGGCTTCCTTTATTTTCCGGTCTTGGTATTCCCCAGAAGTGAGGAAGCCGGTCGTCACCTCAGACCTACCCCTGTAAAGTTGAGAGGGAGAGAACTCTTCTCTTTTGTAACGCAACGCATAACTGCATGACGACGTTTTATGGTACTGTACAGCAATGATAAAATTACCTCAGGGCAATAAAGTTATAATATCTTATCTTATCTTATGTTATATTGACTCTTTACAGTATTGTTTATGCTACTTACAACAAATAATACTTAGCAGACCGTAGAAACTAAGGAACGTAATCGGCTTCCCGAGAAATATAAATTGGAACACGCCGACTAAGTCTTCTATTACGCTGACCTACTGACATTATCTTTCGCTGTCTATAACCGGGTACCTATTCGCTCTAGGGTGAAATGATGAATTTTCATGTAGAGTAAATTTCCCATTGACACAACGTTAATCCAGAACGATGTTACCCGTAGGCCCTGAGTTTGACTTCTCCGTCCTTGATCACCATTTCACCCCCCCCCTCTCCACCCCCACCACGAAAAAAAGCGTGTCACAAAAACAAATGTAACGCCAAATGAATAGCTATAACGTTCTACCTTTACGTTTCAACTCTGCAAAAGCAGCGCCGCGATGGACACAAATTTCAAGCAGAGAGACTTAAAATCATTGAGATTCTCTATCTTTTGGGAATCAAAGTCTGGTCTTTTGAGTGTGACGACAAAGAAGAAATCGTTACATAATAGACGTTGATATCTTAAGGTGAAAATGTAAAGGATTGACGTAGCACCCCCCCCCCCCTTCTTTTCACTCAACCCCTTTCCCTGGGTGCTGACTTACCTAAACAGACAAAAACATTGACTAGTGCACATCGAATAATTGAAATATATTTCACGATAGATCAATCATAGATAACGTGTTTGAATGAGCTCTTATTGTGCATGTTTTTGTTCGTTTTATTCCATGATCTTTTTGTTAAAAAGAAATCATTTAAAAAATTTAAAAACAGTAAGAAGGAACATCTCAAATTCACGAACTGACCACTTCTCCGTCAGCCTCTGCCACAAAGGAGAGAAAGTCTGGGTCTTGAACAAACTCTGAATACTTTGCAGGTAAGTGGTCCCTGCCCCAGTAAACATCCCCAATTCCATCCACTACGGCGGAGTAATCTGACATACGTGCCGGCCGGATCACCACTTCGGACGTCATATTGCTGAAAAATGTAAGAATTGATGAGTTTGCGTCTAAAAAGAGAACCAAAAAATGTGGGTTAAAATAGAAGAAACAATAAATACCTTAAAAAAAAAAGAAAAATTAAAAATGGAGAAAAAAACTCTAAACAACAAAAAATGACTTCTACCAATCAGTTACAAAGAAAACATGTGCTACTTAAATGTCCATCTCTGCAAATTCTCTAATAAAAAAAATATATTTGAAATAGTCGTTTCAGATTAGATCTAGTAAATCTACTAAATAGTAGACGTAGACAACATTTCTTACACTATCTCTAGCGAAGAAAAACATGAATGGGTTTGATTGCAACGATGTGTAGCTTGATATTTGTTTCGTTTAGACAAAAGTATGCCCAACTATCGCATAAGACCATGCTAATTGTTTCTGTAAGACTAACCAAGAGTTCACCTTTTCCTCCGGTTACTTAAAGATGGATGTAGCCAGGAACTTGTATTTTCACAATCTTACAAAAATATATGGTTTTCCAGTACAATGGTTAGACATAGCATCACGTTAGCAACAGTAAACGGACTTTTCTTTAGCGACTGTTCTGTCGAGGAAACCCACTATAGAGGAAACTACAATATTATTTACGCAGTTGCTTTGGCAATTTCTAGTACTTCCTAAAATCAGCCCGGTCCAAATGAACCGCTGGGTAGAGAACGTAGAGCACAATATAGTGATGACGCTCCATTATCATCAAACAAGAGTACGCCAACACATCCCAGTTCTTAGTAATGCCCGAAACTCATCATCTTCTGTACAACGATCAAATTCAAGTAAAAATGTATATAAAGCGTTGTACAGTCACTGTCACTTATTATACAGTTATGACGCTCCACTATAATCAAACAAAAGTACGCCAACACAACCCAGTTCTAAGTAACGCCCGAAACTCATCATCTTCTGTACAGTGATCAAATTCTTTCAAGTAAAAACTTATATAAAAGTTGTTCAGTCGCTGTCACTTATTATAAAGATCTAGCTGTTTCTGTCCGTATTATGTACCTGATAATTGTATGGAAACAATTACTTACCTTCTCACATGTGCAATCGTCAGCTCTTTAACTTCGTCTGCTGTGTGCACAGGAGAACAGCACGAGCTGACAAATAAGAACTGTTGGTTTTTATTAAAACGTCCAAGGCTCGGAGTCGGTCGTGGTATGTTTTTTGTACTTTGACACTCAGGTCACGTTATGCCTGCAGCATTATCAACACCAGGGCCAAAATAGGTAATGAAACGTTTATAAAAATATAAATGTTACTTGTTATCTCTTGATCTATCATGGTCAAAAGGTACGGTGTTCGTCTCTCAGTTGAAAGGTCCAGGGGTCGAAACCTGCCAGCTATTGAAACATTTTCTTCTCTTTAATTATCTCCTTCTTTCTAGTTCTTTAGTCCTGTTCTGTTATCTGCCTTTCTTTCCACCATGTTTCCCCTCCGTGCGTACGCCCTGGCCTCCTCTCTACTAATCCTTCTTTCCCCTTATCCTGACTTATTCTTACTTCTCCTTATTAGCCACAGCCCTGATCTTAGGGTAGGTAAAATCAAATATATTGAATTCTTGGATAAAGGCACAACATCTCGGAAGTCCCGTTTGCAAGTTGGGCACGCTAAAGATCCCTTGATGTTTCTAAAATCAATGATGGGGATCGGATGGGCGGGGGTGGGAGAGAGGGTAAGTTATCCTAAATAAATCAAAATAATAACAGTACTAACAGATGAACATATGTATGCGCGGAAAAGAATGAGAAGGCAAGGTTTCCTGCTACAGTGCTGGAAATCTACATCCCTAAAATAGATTTGGCTAGCCTACAGTCGATACAGTGTCGTCCGATCAGATGGATGTATTTCATAGATTTGTTTTGATGTAATACAATATTCCAGTTTTAAAAGTTTAGCTAAGGGCCTATTACAGTAAAGTGAAATTCTTGGGAAACTTTTGTTTGAGTAGCTGTTTCACGACACCATCGACTCAGTTTTGGTCGTGCAGGCCCTAAATGCCTATCCTTGGGGAACGAAATTGCCCTTTTCTTCATTCTATTAATAGTAATAGCCATAACAAGTAAGGTTTTCTTTTTCTTTCAGGAAAATATGACGATGTTTTTTTCCTATTGCTCTAAATTAACTGAGATAACACTAGGCATATGTCAAAGTGACTTCAGGAAAACTCATGAGAACTCTAAACGAATAAGATAAAAATTTGTCGGGATTGCGTTAGAATTAGGTGATGATCAGTTGGTTTGTTTTTTTGTTTTTTGGGGGTGTTTTTTGTTGTTTTTGTTGTTGTTGTTTTGGGGTTTTTGGGGGGGTGGGGGGGGGGGTTGGTTGTTTAGTGAGGTTTTTAAATCTTTTTTTTTACAGTCATATGGAGTTACTTGCGTTATCTTTAAAATTGTATTTGTTTGTTCTTTTGTCTTGCTTTGGATGAAAATGATGATATGTCTGTTGTACAAAGTTCATGTATTTGTGAGTAAGAGAGATAGGGAGGAGGGGAGGTGAGTGAGGGGGCATCTGATGTCACAGGCACAGATAACGAGTAAATAGCCGCCAGAGTTTGGTGACTTGCAAAGCTTGGGTGTTTTTAAAAACTGCATATTTATATTTTTGCACGTCTGGTGAACGTGTTTCTGTAAAATCCACACAGAATTGCGTATTAAAATGGACAAGTGCATGTGACACGGAAACAAAAAGGATAAAAATCACACAAAAAGCTGAAAATTGTCGGTTTCTTTACTTTCACCAATTTGACGAGCGTCTGATTACACCACTATCCCACACTGAGGCAGCATGGTGGAATCAGGCGCTTGTCAATTTTGAGGCACATGGAGTTATTGGTACCACCTTAAAATTTGTTTATTTTTCTTCCTTTCAAGTAAAAAAATATCAATCTATTTTGAATACAAGACGAGATATTCACGATTGATGTAAGTAGGGGTCGCCCGGTTTCAAAGGTAAATTTAGCGAGAAAATAGCCGCCAAAGTTTGGTGACTTCTAAAGCTTGAGAGTCCTTGAAAACTGTAAATTTACCTATTTGTGTCTTTAATCGACGTTTTCAAGTAAAAGTCACACCCCAAATTGTTTTTAAATGGACTCAAAAAGTACTGAGCCAAAAACTAAAAACTCGATAAAAATTGCCATAGGAAAAGAAAAATGCCGTTTTCTTCAATTTCATTATTTTGACGAACGTCTGACTTCACCACTATGCCACACATTATTATTACACATATTATTTCTTTTTGTGGAACGAGTGTGCCTTGGCCGCTTTCCAAACACAATCAGCGTACCTTGGCCTTCTTCGAGTCCCTGTGACTTTTTCAACACGATTGTTTTGTGTCCTCACGTGCTGTTTTCCTGTGCACACATCAGACACATCAGACAGAGCTCGAGTGAACTACTAACGACTGTACAATCCTGATGGTAAGTTGTTGTTTCCGTGCATAAAGTAAGAGCATGTACAACATCTGTCTTAAGCAGCTAGAAAATTAATAGATCTTGATCGAAATGTTAATAAGTACACAACATTGTAGTAGGCTACCTCTGTTCCTAAGGTTTACCTGCCATAGAAAACTGCGTTTCCTCTCGACGCCTAACACCATATAGGATGAAAAGTAAATAAAAGTATGTAATTTACATGAATAAGGTCTTTGTAGTAATGATAATAGTTATAGCTCAGGAACATTAATAATCATTTGTAGTACTGACTTACCACTAACACCCTTCAACTGCATAGCCATTTTATATTTTTGAAGTATGGCCGTCACAAAAGCATAAGTAAAATCTTATTTTTTTTGGTGAATTGAAAGGAATTAGTCCTTCTTTTTTCAGATACAGAGTGGTTGTTTTTGTTTTTTTACAATTCGTCAGCAAAATGACCTCGGAAGTGGTGATCCGGCCAGCGCGTATGACAGATTACTCCTCTGTTGTGGAAGGAATTGGGGACGTTTACTGGGGCAGGGACTACTTACCTGCAAAGTACACAGAGTTTCTTCAAGACCCAGACTTTCTGTGCTTTGTGGCAGAGGTTGACGGAGAAGTGGTGAGTTCATTACTTTTGATTTGGGTGATTTGAGCTGCTGCATTTCCTGCCATCTACTGATAAAAAAATAGTATAGGGACTTAAACAAAACAAAACAAAAATAAATAAAATACGGAGTGAACCAGCAAACACAAAAATATGGGGGGGGGGGGGGGTTAATAACAAAAAGGATAAAACAAGTTAAATTTAACAAAATAGGACACCGTTGATATGCCCTCTGTTACATCATGTTGTGTACTTGACAATCAATTTACTTAACTAAACTGCCCATAGTGAGGGTTGGAAATTGTAAAGCCTGATAATAATATGTTGACTTGGTGATGAGAATGTGCTTAGCATAATAATGGTTTTGAAGGCTGGTAAGATGTGCATTTAGTTGTCTGCTGCAAGTTTTGAAGCCTTGGTGCCAGTAACCAGCGCTTATTTTTTTGTATGGCTTGTGGTAAAAACCAAAAAAGTATTATGCTTTAACCCAAAGTTTGGTTTAGCTTTTTATATGTTTATCTACACGACTAATTCTATGCAAGCCTAATTGTACCATAAAAAGCTGAAAGTATCTTTTTTCTGTATCCTCCTACTGTTTTTGATTAAATTGGGTGGTCGGTCGTTACAATTTTAGCCACGACTATAATCTTTTAATTTTTCTGTATGCCTGTTAAAAATGGTCACCCTGTCACTCTCTAGTTCATGAACATTGAATAAGAGCAATGGCATTTGCCTCTGAGAGTACACATTCTTTACTTTCAACAACAAGGCAAAAGATGAAACTGACTGGCTCAGACTGATCATGTGGTCCATTTTTACACATGATTTTCTAATTTTATTTGGACAACTATCATTTTTTCATCTTGTTGCCAAAACGTTAGTCGTTATTCCGTTGATATTTTACTTTCTTCGATTTTGGTGTTTGGGCAAATCACCCCTTACAAATTATGTTGGACTGTAGTCGGGGAAGAAAGCTTATTTTTTTGTTCAAATTCTGACAACTTCATTTTCAATCTTAATCTTCATAACATATCATGTTAGAGTATTATCATCGTTTGCCTCCGTCAATCTGCTTGGACTTTGTGTCCGTTCTAGCTCCACTTAGGATACATAAATAAAGGTAGCATTTTTTTTTTCAGACATAGGGGCCATTATTTCCGTATAAATCTGAAGTCTCAAACTGACAAGCACACCAGCTTACTAAATCATTATTGTGAAATCTTTACAAATTTAATCATATCTTTTCGATTCCTAATATATATATATATATATATATATATATATATATATATATATATATATATATATATATATATATATATATATCACCTCATATTAGGTCGCATTCTACTTGGGAGAACTGGTGGACAACAGACAAACAGTGGATAAGAGAGCAGGAAGAGTCAAGGACGGATATAAAGGTCAAGGTATTTTCTCCAAGTTGAGTGACACCATTGAGGCTGAAGTGACAAAACTAGGAACAGTCAAGTGGGAGGTGATGGCATGTGAGAAAAAAGTTGCAGAGAGAGTCAGTAAGGGATTCACCGAGAAGAAAGGATTCGAGCTGATTGTACACGTGGTAAGGACTTCTCAACATCAATGATGAAATGTAACTTTACACAACAAAAGCTTTTTTCCAAACCAAAGAGTCTCACTTTCATCAGAAAAGTACGTATTATTATGTGTAATATATGTTAGGCAGCGTGGTGAAATCAGGCTCTCGTCAAAATTGGGAAATCAAAGAAATTTGGCAATTTTTCTACCATTGGGCAATTTTTTTTCTCAATTTCTCTTTTGGCTCAACACCTTTTAGATCCACTTAAAAACCCATTTTTTGTGTGGTTTTTATTGAAAAACATTTATTAAAGGCACACGGAATGTCAATTTTCTGTTTCCAGTGACTCTCAAGCTATGGAAATTACCAAACTTTGGAGGCCATTTTCTCGCTCATTTCACTTCTGAAACCAGGCGACCCTGGCCTTCAATCGCAAATATTTTGACTCGTATTCAACATAAATGGATATTTTTTCACTGAAAGCATGGCAAATGAACAGGCTTTAAGATTATACATGCATCAATAACCTCATATACCCAGAAACTGACAAGTGCCTGATTCTACCACATTCCGACGCATATTTCTTTTGAAACTTTTAGTGAAACTCAAATGTGTAGTGAACAACAATCAAAAGGCCTTTCGTTTTCTATTGTACTGTGTAAAGATAAGACACCCTGTAATTTGAAACTGAAATACTTGTTTCTGTAAGTCTGAAGACAGGACAATTTTCTTTAGGAACAAATTTTTTTAGCCGCAAAACCTATGGCGTTGTAAAGAGTGGTATTTGTCGGTCTTGTGGTAGGAACCATCCTCTTGGAATACAGAACTAACAGGGTCTTGTACCACTGACTGTCTAAGCTTCAAACTCTCTCACGTTTCTGAAGCGTTCCTGTTTATAGGTCACCGCCAAGAGCTACCCATGTATTTTTTAGCTTAACTATACTATAGTCCTCATCTCTGCTCAACTGTTTCTCATCCATTGTAGGCACAAAAGAATCGTTCATAGGATACTTGTAACCTTTTCTTTCGTTTTTTTACCTAGGCATTCCATCCGAAGGCTTATTGGCCAACATTTGTTTTCAGATTCATTTCCATAACTGCACCGTTCTGATTTCTATAGATTTCTATATTTTTAGTTGCTCTGTTTGCTCTCAAAGTATGTCATTTCTTACGGTGTCAGGCCGTTGAATT